TGATCATTGAGCTTGAAAGCCAACTGGTTGGAGTCCCCATCAGCGAAAGCCCAGAAGTCATGCACGCAGCGAAGTCGGTCAGCCTCATGGGAGAGCCCAGGCAGGGTGATAGTGCACGGGAGTGAGCCAAAAGCAATGGTCATGTCTGCAGTACCAAGGCTAGGAGCATCCAGACAATGGTTTTCAAGGTACTCCAAGGCAAACTGAAAGTGCCGATCCTCAAAGAGCACTTGGTCCTCGACAAGGAGAAGTTGAGTTGGTGTCTGGTCAAGAGGTTGAGGCACATTCGAATGCTGGCCGTCAGGGCTTGGCCACAGTTGCGTCGAGGGACACACCAAAGGGGCCTTCGAAGCCAGCTGGATAGTCGCAACCGGAAAGCCTTGGAGGAAGACTGTCCACTGTGGATACTGGTCAAATACTTGCCAAAGTCGTGCTCGAGGAGAGAGAGTCTCACCTGTCGCAGCAAGATAAATGTGCCCAGAAATGCTGAAATCCCATGTGAAGCAACCCAGAAGGTCATTGACAGACCAATCGCGAGAGGCAGGGAACTCTGTAGCTCGTCCACCCTGATGAATGCAGTGGATGGTGAGGCATTCTTGGTTGGATGTTACCTCACTGCGGACACAAATGTCATCAATGATGGTGGAAGTGCAGGCAAAGATGTAGAAGTTGCCTTCCTCAATGATGACCGTCCTGGGCCCAGTAAGCCTGGTGGTCCACACCTCATTGACAATCTGAACTACATCAGTAGGCCACTGGAAGAGGTACTTGAAGCCTTGAAGGAGAACAAATAGCGCATGCGGTGTAGCAATTGCATTCCCAATCTGCCGGTAGAGCACATCAAGCTTGGAGGAGAAGACCGAGGTCTCAAGCAGACCAAGAAGGCCCGCTAGCAAGGCAGGATCCAAGAACTCAGGTCCAAAATCTCCTTCACGAAGTGTAGCAAAGATGCCCTTCTGCTCAAGACATGACCTCGGTAACTCATGTTGGAAACCATATGAAGCACAGACAGTGGGGACCGGTTCATGCGATTGCAAGTACCTCGAGCGGATGATAGCCTCTGGAGGCATATCTGGTGCAATTTTGATGCGCTTGGACGGAGGCAAGAGCGAATGAAGTCCATACAGCACTTGGGTAGCCTGCGGAATGGTGATCTTCTCACGGAGACTGCGAGGCAATTGGAATCGAAATGCATCAGAAGTCCATTGCTCGAACCGAAATGCACGAAACTGGTCGGTCTGGCTTTCAACATGCGAAAAAAGGTCAGCCCTGACATACACGGCAAGCCAACGAGTGCGTTGCATATGTGCAAAGGTAGAGTATGGAAGAGTACCCTCCCACAAAGCACGATAGCCAATGACATGCAAGAGACGACGAATGATTGGAAAGTGGGCATGGCGAGCGAGTTCGTCCACACACTCCAAGTTCAACATCGTGGGTTGGGCAAAAGCACACTGTTTTAAACAGTCAACAAAAGTCCACCCTTCAAAACAGTTTAGACCTCTTCCAAGGCCTCCCCGGCTCCAAGAAATGCAAGGAGGTGATGCTGTAAAAATGAAATTGGCCAACGGCTGCACCACATGCAGCAGGCAAGGGTCAGCCACTTCCGCCCTCACAACTTTGTGAAGGGACACTTCAAATACAGCACTGGCCTGAACTGGTGCAGGCGTGACATTGCATCCATGCTTGCGAGCAAGTGCAGCGGTGACTTCAACATCCACATCAACAAACGTTTGCGTACCCAATCGAAGAGTGGAGCAAAACCGTGGCAGCGAGCTGAGAGCTTGGCCCCATCCAGAAAAGGCACCTGAAAAGATGTGCAGACATTCAATCGCTTCATCAATCACAGGCATGGTCTTCTTCAGGAGGATAGCACGATGATCACCAGTCCAGAGGCCAATATCCTGAGTCGTGAAAAGGCCTGCACAGACAAAGGGATCACCAGCAATCAAATTCAGGGACCGCTTGTGAGCATCGTGGATGCAGATCTTGGCTTCCGTCATCTTCTCTCCAGTAAAACCCTGGCCAGCAACAAATTGCATGAGGGAGACTTCAAAGATGTCGTTCACCTGGGACCAAAACGTTCCAGCCAGGATCGTGTAGTGCTCCCAGCAGAGAGCTGGGCCATCGCCCACACCTTGAAGGAGAGCCCTGGCCCTTGACCTCCAGGGATCCTCCAAATCACACAAAAGCAGATCTAAGTCCATGGCTCTATCCAAAGGAGTGCAAAGAACCTATCTACCTAAGTGGAAAAGGTGTGGACAGGAGAAGTCCACTCTGTAGACGCCTGCCCACAGCCGCGAGGCCGTCGAACAGGCCCCGGCCCCCGTGAGGCGTAAGCTCAAGGGTACTTGAACCCAGAAAGCTGGTGGTCTATTCTGTTCATCCTTGGTGGTCAACCAAGGCAGCCTGGTGCCATGACCCACACCGAGCCCGGCTGCGTGGCGTGAGGTGGGCGTCCTTCTTCCTGCAGCAGCACCGGCATCGCGAACCCACCGCTGCTGGGGAAGCTCGGAGGGTCTGAAAAAGGACACCTTTAGTGGAACAACAGCATACGACAGCAGACAGCATGGATTCCCCCAAAGGAAACAAGTTGTAAACAAGTATCAGGGTTTGTTTGGGGGCATGCAGCTCCCAGATTTTAACGCAACATTTGGTATGCATGAAAAGAAGAAGAAAGAGAAAGAAAAAACATAATATATACGGTTTGCGTCTAAAGAAAAAGAATTGAATAGAGAGCTTATGATTTCTATTCTATTGTTCTTTGTTAAGGAAGAAGACCGGCAGGGCGCTGGTCGCTCTTGAAGGGATTACGTGCGCTGTCCCTTTGGGGGACATCAGTGAACTATAGTTTGGGGCTCAATTTCAACTGTTAATATTATGTGTTTTTGGGAAAGCTACGTCCATGACCAATAGAGCTGTGTCACACAGTGTAGGTCGGTGGAAATCTCAAGACGCTCAGGCTTTGGGTTGGCGCGTGCTGAACTTCTGCGAGTGCGAGCTCTTCTGTGACGGCGCGAACCGCGCGCCAGTGCGCTTGTGGGATGGCGTGGGTATCCTTCATCTCTTGAGGTAGGTCCCTTGCCTCACTCAATGAACACTGTTTGAAGTTTACAAGATGCTTTTCTCCTGTTTTCTCCAAAAGTCAGCAGACAGGCCTGATAGCGACTCGGGAACATGAATTAGGGAAGGGAAAGTATCCGGTGAAGGAATCCAAAGGGTCTAGCCGAAAACTAAGCCCGACAAGTTGGTACGACTATGTACCTTTTTGGCAAAGAAAAGCAGCAACTGTCCGACACACAAAGCAATCGGTCCGACACGTTGGAGTGCTGGAGGCCATCGCTATTGGCGAGGGAGCGAGCGTTAAAGCTCCTAGTAGCGTCCTTTGCTCCTAGTAGCGATGCCAGGAGCTCCTAGTAGCTTCTTGTTCCTAGTAGCGTTAAAGAGAGGATTTTCCGTTCTCTTTTCTCAAACTGGCAGGCGCTGCACAGACCCTGGCTTTGGTGCCCCAGACACGATTGCTTCAGCCAGGGTGGCCCAACCGGTCAGAAGGGGAGCGAAGACGAGAGGTCAGTGGGAACAGCATCGCTCCCAACTTCTTTGCAAGTGGGGCGTGGAGGTCTTCAAGATCTAAGCTTTGTTGTTCGGCTTTCAGTGGAAACTGAGGCATGTTGCGAAAATGGCTCAATCAAGCATTCAACAAGAGGGAGTCGGATGGCATAGAGCCAGCAACCGGGCACCGGTGCTTCTTGGAAGAAATCCCTGCACCACCCCAGTATGCCTTTGCAAACCACCTGCTGCCCTTGGACTACAATGTCATTTCGACAGTCCATACTACCGGGTTCATGAACACAAGAGTGCGACATAAACCCTTTTGGAAGCCCAATTTGTGCGAAAAGCGATGCCTATTCTTGAGGTCCGGTACAATTGGTTCCACAGAGGGAATCCCTGATGGTGTTAGAAACGAATTGGCACTCTGCAGTCTCCTCAGGATTCGGATGTCCATGGGTTGGGCAGGAAATACTCCATTGAAGTCGGTGTGTTTTTTGGCCAGCTCTTCATTGGCTGGCTTCAAGTGCTGTTTTCTGATGCAGACTCATATGGCTGTGGCTAGAATAGCTTATAAACATGCTAGAGTCTCCCTATTCTTATTGTAACTACTAGTAAGGCACTTGTTCCTAGTAGCGTGGCACTTGTTACTACTAGCTTCTTGTTACTACTAGTGCCACGCTAGTAGTCACTACAGGTGCCTTACTAGCAGTAACAAGAAGTAGCCCCCATCACTTCGCATGTTCTTCAGGTGACTGAGGGATCGACCGCACCTGCCGTTGACCAGCTTTCAAGCGTGGCAAGTCAGGTCCAAAGAGGCCCCACAAACAAGCGATTTCTTTACCACAAGAAGCAAGAATCCCCTACTAGCGTTGCCAGGAGCCCCTAGTAGCTTCTTGTTACTAGTAGCGATGCCCTTTGTTCCTAGTAGCTGTATTGGTTCTATAGTAGTAAGGCCAGGAGCCCCTAGTAGCGGTGTCTTTACCACAAGAAACCCATCAAACCAGCAGATGGTCCTCGCCGATCCAAAGAGCCCACGAGACCTTTGGTGACTCCGAAGGTGTTTGGACTCCAACCGACTAGCTTGATGGTGAAGATGTTGCTGAGCATTAAAAAGACTGGAAGAGTCGTGTTTGGACTTCGCACGAAATGACTCCATCCAGCACCTTCCCACCCTCTCCAAGAGGCTTCTCAAGCGGGGGTGTCACAAGGCTTCTCGGGCGCCTGAAGCCTTTGGTCTTCTGGATTCCGGTCTGGAGTTCAACAGTGGATGGTTCAAGTAAAAGGTTTTGCCAGAAGCTATCTAGGAGTCTAGTACATGTACATAGAAAATTGACAAGTGTCCTGTTTCAGGCCACCATGGCCCCTACCCCAGCCAAATTCAAGTCCCCAGTGGGGTTCACAGCCAAGTCGGGTCCGGCCGCGGGGCAGCCTCGAGCCATGCGAGAGCAATGGCAAGGCCAGCTTGAAACGGGTGGAACTAGCCGCGTCGGAATTAAATTTGGGTAGCACCACACCGGCAGATTGAACTGATCTACTTGTCTTCACTGGCTTTCAGATGTACCCTGAAGATTTAAAGGCGAAGTCGGGAGATCGTTCCATTAAATGTATCTTTTTTGAGCACCCGATTTGGGCACTCGTCTGCATTTGTGCCGTACAGCGCCAGGAATGGTCACGGGGCGGCGTCATCGCAGTTGGAGGAGCCAAGGCCTATGGACTGGAAGGGTGTGCAGCCAGTAGGAGCAAGGACGCTACCAGGGGCTCCTGGCCTTACTACTCACACAAGTTGCGGTCACTGTCTGCGCGCATCCTCCGGCCCTACACCGTGTTGGTGGGTGCCGAGGAGTTTGGTAAGAATATCTACGTGTCAAATATGAACAAAAAAGTGTAGTGCACACATGAAACAAGTCTAACTACGTGAAACCGAATGTCCGCATAGCACGAAGGGCTTGAATCTGTGAATTCCTAATTTGGATCGACCGGGATGGACACGGTATCGAGGTCACCGTTGCGATTCCAAATCTTTCGCAAGTTGCGACGATACAGAAAACGCTGATGAAAAGTGAGGGAGATTGCATCAACAACTGGAATAGACGGGACAATGCATCGCATCGGGATCAAACCATCCGGATGGTAAGGAGGTTTACAATGCAGATCCGCAGCATAGTGGATCAATGTGCGTTGAACCGCACCAGCATTGGGCATTTGAGGGCGTAACGCGAATCCTCCAGTATAAGACCGGCCCCAGCCAACTTGGGTGAGACTGATGGATCCGGTCTTAGAGTATGTGGGAAGCAAAGGTGTGCTCGTGTAACTCTGCAAATAAATAACGATAGTGCGAAATGCTTCGGCCTGTTCACGGAGGGCCCGTTTGGGGATTGGCAAAGCCAGGACCCTGGGGTCCTGCCAATGGACAGGTTGTGCTCTTTGGGATTCATGCGACCGTATCCAGGTAGGAAATTGGACACCGGTATTAACTACAAAGGCAATAGTGAGCTCATGCCATGTGATTCCCTGTGTGATGAGCGGATCAGTGTGTATACCTAGAGGGTCCGGCCATACAAGTGATGTACAGAAACGAAACACTAAATCGGCATATTGATTACCCCACACACAGGCCGTAATCCAAGCTGGATGAATATGTGGGGAAAATGTAAAGACCGGAGGTGGAACTACGTAGTGTTCACGCTGGCGAAAAATGGTGCCCCATTCCAGGGAAGCTTCGTGCTGGGCTAACTCGGTGCCACCGGCAGATGTTGTTGTTTTATGTTGGAGGTGACACATGTTGAGATCAGCTAAGTACAAAAGGATCGCCTTTGTTTGTCTGTATTGATCATGATGCCAGATATTGGCATTAGAGAACAGATGATCGATGGTTGGGTGGTCTGTGTGGCGTGCACGCACGGCTGCTAGATCTGCCCAGGAGTTGCCAAGTGCGTCATCACGCAGTGGTCCAGGGGGTATCGAAGTGATGTCTTGGTGTGATCGAACCTTCCGCAAAACGAACTGTGTAGGTCGCCAGAATTGTGCGATAATACGCAGGAGATCTGCATTAGCAACTCGGTGCCAGGAAGGGTGATTGGTTGGATGAGTGGTGTCGCGAATCACGTTTATGACATATTGCGAGTCGGTGGTGATCACAATTTGCTGATGCCACTGGTGTGTGGCGGCATGTTGAACGATCCAAGCCACTGCAGCTAGTTCAGCACGGGCGATGGTTTGGGCCCCGTTAACGTGCTGAATTTTAATGGTCAAGAAAGGTGCAGCGCTCGTATCAGGGAGGAATTGTACGACGGACCATGCTGCCCGACGAGTGACCGGCTGGATCGGTGTATCAGCTGATCCGTCAGTATAGAAGTAAAGGACGTTACCTTCCTGTCGAATTGTAGTAGATTCAGTATCTGTGCCTCGGTGTCGAAGGAGCTGACGAATGACCTCCAAGTCGGGATAGCTATGAGGCAAAGGCAACCACAGCTTGGCGGGGTTATCTTGAAGGTATCGAATCGCCAAAGGGTGTCGCTTGCGTACATGTGCAAAATCTGGGCAGTCGAGTTGTTGGTGGGAGTGGGTTTCAACTTGACCACAAAATGGGCAATTGGCATCAACAGTCGATGTCCATTGGGCTTTGACCGCACCAACTTGGTACCCTCCTGTCAAATTATATGCGATTTGACGAATAGTGGTCACGGACATAGATTGAATCACGCGAGACAGCAGCGTATAATCAAAAGGATGGTCAGTCGCCCCTTTCCGATGGCAAATATTGCGGTGGATATGATAAGCCCATGCTTGACGGAGGGTGGAACGTATTGAGGCAAGAGAATCGTGCCGGAGTGAAATGGACATATATCCGTCAAGAACAAGAGAACCATCTGGTTGTAAAGACCACCCTATGATGTTCAAGTACCTAGCGAGAGCGCCCGCAGGGCCAATAGCGGGTCCCGTGTGCGACAGTACCGCATGTGTGAACTCGCAAGCGAGAGTCGGGTGAATGTGGTACATACGACGTAAGAAAGCCAGGGCTGTCGAGATCACATAAAGGAGAGGATCTTGTAATTGTTGACTAAAAACATGAACTGCAAGCCAGCTAGAGATCTGAGATTCGGGGCCGATCAGAGCTATAGCTGCCTCCCTGCGCAGTTTGCGAAAGTGGCTGTCTCCGACGACCTGTGTCTCTGCTCCAAAGAAAGCGTGGGGCCATACTGCCGTCTGTATGAACCGGGCCTTTTGAAGGAGATCAGTTGGAAAACGACGAATTCTTCTACATCGTTGAATCGCGCTGTGAATTTTGGTCTTCAGATGACCCAAAGTGATGTGTCGTGTGTAATGAGTCATGCAGCCTAAGTCTTTAGTCGAGTTAAGGACTGGGACTTGGTTGCTATCTGGGAATGTTTGGTTTAAAAACTCTGTCCAGTCTTGGCGTGCATCACTGGTAGCACCCCAGGCCCAGGATTTGGCATAATCGATCTGCATGCGGAAGGCGTGAACAAAGTCTTGGATGCGACGAAAAGTAATAATGTTATCCCGCTGATTAGTGGTCAAATAAGACCAATTGTCCGCATACGCATAAGGGAAAACAGTGGGTGATTGGATAGTCCAATAGAAGGCCGAGGAGACAACGAGCATGGCACAAACTGACAGACTATCCCCCTCAGGGACTCCTGTGGTCATGTGAAGAGGGGGGCCAACGCAATTTCTGACTTGTAATCGACGAGTCATTTTGCGGAGATTATGAAACCAGAATTGGATGGAATCTGGTGGTACTCCGTGATAAATTAAAAGATGGTAGATGACTCTGCGCGGAAGGAGATTAAAAGCTTTGATTAAATCAAGGGTAAAGCCCGCCATGGTGCGGACCTATTTTTTGCCTTTTCGATATGGAACTGCTGGAGAAATGTGATGTCTTGGACTCCGCGAGATGGCAAGCCTCCTGAGATGGCACTCGGCCAGGTTTGTGTCCAGTGACTAAGCAGCTGATCGGCAATGAGCTTGGAGGTTAGACGACTCAGGTAGCCTAAGATAGTAATAGGGCGGCCATCATTGATGGAAGTGGCTGGGTTCTTTTTGGCTAATAGAATTACACGTGCGATCATGTGATGTGTCGAGAGCCCTTTTGGCCAAATGTGGGCGAAAATATTGGCCAAATCGTGCACAGCTTCTTGAGGAAGGAGTTGAAGTTCTTCCGCACGCCAACCATCTATTCCCACGGCTTTAAATGGCTTAAGTCGTTGTATGGTACGTGTAAGGATGTGTGGATCGGTCCAGGTAATTGCCAATGGAGTCTGGGGTGGAATCCGATTAAGGAGGGATTGCAACAGGGGGTCCCAAGACTGATCATCCTGTTCATCCTCTGGCGTGTCGCGGTTCCAAAATTGAGACCAGTATTGAGCAAATGGACCGACCATATCAGGGAGCTCGAATGCATAAATGTTTTGCTGAATATCACCATGTGTGGGGAGGACTCCCTCCAGGACTTGGCAGGTGATTGAATTCGCCTGTTGTTCTACGATACGAAGAGTAGCATCACCAAAACGAGCCGCAGCATAAAGTCGAAATGCAACTGGTTGGTGGAGCACCAGGCGGATGGGGCCCTTTGACATCCGTTGTAATGTGGCTTGTGCTCGAAGTTGAGTAGGGAATCCTGGCAACACCTTAGGTTCGTGTGCTCTGAGCTGTTTATAGAATCGAGAGCTAGACTTATGTTGAACATCTAATTCCATGCCATGTTTATTCGAGAGCCGGAGAAGCTTGGCTTCTTGTTGGCAATATAGGTCGGCGTCATATTGTGTGATTTGACGGACTGTGTACAATTGATCGAAAGTCGGCAGGTCGGTAGGGACTGCATCAATGGCCTCAAATTGCAACAACCACCGTGTCCATGAATTGCCATAACCGTGAGCGAGTCGAATAGCCTGCCATTGGAGGACCAGTGATTGAAATTGAGGTATAGATGGCCAGGCGGCAGGAAGGATGTCAGCCAAAGTGTATTTCTTGTAAAGCTGTTCAAGACATCGCAATCGGCGGACTTGGCGGACTTTATGACGGCTCCGAAGGGAAGTGACCTCCACCGGTGGCTCATAACAACCTGCCCAATCTTTCTTAGGAGAACGGAGACTTGGAGGATGGATAAGACGAGGTGTAGCACATCTACCTCGGTGAGTTTTTGGCAAAAAACGTTGACTATGAACCAATGGATCAAGACGGTGCTGCGATTGGAGAGTAAGATCAACCGCCTTTTCAATTTGAGCTGACCATTGATACAGACTAGCGCTTGCATCATCGGAAACATGAATCGGGCAGCGACGGCGCACCTTCCGATATTGATGTGCAAATTCAGACCCTTTGATATGAAAGAGAGTCCAGGACTTAGGTACAAACCATGTTTGTGATGCTAAATGTGTCGCTGGTAAATTGAGTTGGACATGAACAGCACAGTGATCTGCAAACTGGTGTTCTGGACCAATATCAATGCGAAGAATATGTGATAACAGTGATGGATGAATAATCATGGAGTCGAATCGTGTAGCTCCTTTACATGTAGGTGGTAGCTCAAAGCCAAAAGCTCGGCGATGGAACTCAAACATTTCGCAGCATCCCATGTGACTGAAGAATGGCCATGCATCAAGTTTCTGGATGTCCATATTAAAGTCGCCTGCGATCACAAATGGAAGGTCTGTTGAGAGTACATGCTGGAGAATGTCTTGAAGG